TTCACCCTTTGTTCCTCCATTTCTGTGCTGTCCTGAACCTCTCAAAGACAGATAAATGAACAAACAAGACAAAAAGAAAAGAAAACAAAAAACAGCAATGAAGAAACTTGCTGTACTTTTTATAAGGAAAAAACAAACCTGGAGGAAAAACAACAACAACAACCTCATTAAGTCTTTGAACAACAAACTTACAGTTTACCAAGAAGCTGGAACTAGTGCTTTTGGGACAGTGGAGGTGAAGGGGAGAGGGGGCAGATGGATGGAGAGAGGAGGGGTGGGCATAAGAAGTCATCGCAATGTACATGTGTGAAAATGGAAACCCATAACTTGAGGGGATGGGTAGGGGCGGGAGAGATGAAAGAAACAATGGGAAGGGTGGCAGGGATCAAGATGTGTTGTACTCAAACTGACGCATGGAGCTGAGCCTCTTTCTACAACTATGTAAAGAAAGCAAACAAATATAATTGTCAACAAATAATGACTCAGAGCTTGGCCACCTCAGGCAGATACTGTCCCTTCGTTGCCAGGTGAGCCAGGTTTGCAGGTCTAGGACTTGAAGCCCTTGGGCTGCCATGGAGCAGTGTTTGTGGTGGATGGAGGGGGTTGCGGGGTCAGGTGGATGGAGGGGGTGTGGGGTCAGGCGGGACTCCTGAGACCAGTTCAGAATCTGAGCAGAAGAGGAAGCTGTGGACAGGGAGCAAATCAATGACATCAGTGCCACCCGGGAAGAGGGTGACACAGGCAGAGTTATTAATAGAAAGGACAACTGGACAAATGTCACCCTTAGAAAATAAATAATTTAGTGGCAAGAGAGGCTGGGAGCCCACTTCAGAGGTAAAGAGAAGGCATTTAGCTCATCTCATTTTCAGTCCTTGGAGCTAAAGGGACTGGAAGTAGGAAGGAGGAGAAGGGAAGGAGAAGGGAAGGGGGAGGAGGGAGAGGAGGGGAAGGAGGAGAAGTGGAGAGGTGAAGGGGAAGAGGAAAATGGGGAAGAAGTGGGGGAGGAGGAAGGGGAGGAAAAGAGGGGAAGGAGGAAGAAAAGGAGGACCAGGAAGAGGGGGAGAGGGAGAGAGAGGAGGAAAAGGAGGAAGAGACAGGAGAAAGGGAAGGGAGAGGAGGAAAAAGAGGAAGGAAAGGGTGAGGATGGGGAGGAGGAAGAGGGAGAAGGGGAGGAGGTAGGGAGGAGGGGAGAAGAGGGGAAAGGGAGGAATGAACAGAGGACAAACAGAGTGATCTCCCTTTTGTCTGTGGTTAGTTTTCCTCTTTCCTTCTCCCACAGAGGTCCCATCCCCTACCCTAAAAATCATCCAGTCCCTTTCTACCCTCTTATTCCTTCTTTCTACAAATCTGGGCTCATGGCTGGGCTAGTAATGGGCTTGAACTCTGGGCCTGGGTGCTGGGAACTGAGCTCTTCAGCTCAAGGCGAGCACTCTACCATTTGAGCCACAACACCACTTCCAGTTTTCTGGTGGCTTATTGGAGATAAGAGTCTCACAGACTTTCCTACCTGGGCTGGCTTTGAACTGTGATCCTCAGATCTCAGCCTCCTGAGTAGCTAGGATTACAGATGTGAGCCACCAGCACCATGCTAGTAATGGGTGTTTTAAAGGAAATCGAGACAGTTAGGTAATCAGCCAATGTTGCCTGTGGCTTCTGAGTAAGAAGAAATGAAAGCTTGCATGCAGTGAGTATTTGTGGTGATGGTGGTGGTCTTTCCCAATGGCAGCCAGTTTCTAGTTATCTGATGGGGCAATGCCATGGGAGGATTAGTAGGGGATCTGCACTGTTTCTGCTCATTGACTCTTTTCCACCGTGGATAGACAGAGTTGGCTGCCCCTAATCTCTAGCTATCACAAAAAGAGCATCATTACCTGTGTGCTGGTGCTAAGGACAAGAGTGGGGTGTGCTGGGAGCAGGGAGCCATTGCTAGTGTTTCCCCAAGAGGTGACTCCAATTTTCACTTCCCTAAACAGCAGCCCAGAGTGATTGTTCTGACATCATGCCAATACTTGGCACTTTCTAAAATTAAACACTTTCTAACTGTCTGAAGGAAGATCATTTATCACTGGGACTTTAATTTGCATCTGATGTTGAATTTTTTATAAGAACTTTGCTGTGATTTAGTTCAAACAAATACCTTTTATTCACTTGTTCTATAGTGTACAATTCAGTGAGTTTTTAAAAGTTTATTTACACAATTGTATAATCATCGCCACAAGAAATTTTAGGACATTGTAATTATTACCAAAAGAAACTCTGTATGTATGGGGAGTCATTGCTCATTTCTGCCCAAGTTCCTCAGCCTGAATGACGATGTGTGTGAGATTACCTACTCTGGATGTTTCCATGTCATCGAATATGAGGTCCCTGGGAGCCAGTTTCTTCCACTGAGCATGTCTTATTTGATTGTTTTGGTTGTTGTTTTGTTTGTGCCAATCCTGGGGCTTGAACTCAGTGCCTGGACACTGTCCCTTGAGCTTTATTGCTCAAGGTTAGTGTGCTACCACTTTGAGCCACAACTCCACTTTTGGCTTTTTGGTTATTAGCTGGAGATAAAAGTCTCAGGACCTTTTCTGTGCGGACTGGCTTTGAACCATGATTCTCAGATCTCACCATCTGGTGTAGCTGGGATTACAGGTGTGAGTCACCAGCTCCCAGTCCACTGAGCATGTTTTTAAGACTTGTTCACATTGTATCAATAGTTTGCTCTTTATTATTCTGAATAATCTTCTGTTGTAGGGAAATACCATAGTTTATTTGTGTATTCATCAGTCAACCCATGTTATTTTCATCCTTTGGATATTATAATTAATGCCCCTAGGAACATTCATGTCTGCATTTTTCTGTGGATATATATTTTCATTTCTTAGGTGTCTACTTAGGAGTGAAACTAAGATTAACCTTTTGAGGAAACTCCAGACTATTTTCCAAAGTGGCCACACCATTTTACATAGATTTTCTGAAAGTTTCAGTTTTCCCCTAACTTATCTCTTTTTTTTTCATAGAGATCATAGTCAATGTGCAGTGGTATCTTAGGTTTTTTTTTATTGTGAGAATACCATACAGAGGAGTTACAATTACATGGGCAAGATAACGAGTACATTTCTTATCAAGCATTGTTGCCTCCTCTTTGTTTGCCCTTCCCATCCCTTCCCATACTGCCCCCCCACCCCTCACCCAGTCTGACCCTCACCCCCCACCAAAATTGTAAAGTTCATTTTCGACATAACGACTTGTACATCTCATTGTTGCAATGGGTCCACCTGTATCCCTATTTAAACGATTTGTTTTTCCCCTTCCCCTCCACAAATTATACCAACATCAAATACAGTGAAAGCATGGGTTATACCGTGGAGGAGGGACATACAAAGCAACATAGAAAACATCCTCTTAGTTTGGTTTTTATGTGTGTTTTCCTGAAGGCTGGTGATGCTGAGTGTCTTTTCATGTGTATATGGGCCATTCATTCATGTATCTTGTAGGAGAAGTGCTTATTCAGATACTTTTCCTATTTTCAAGTTGATGTGTCTTCTTTAAATTCAAGAGTAAGAGCTTGTTGTTTCAACTAAAAATCTCCTATCAGATATAAGATGCACAAAAAAAAATCCCAACTCTTTCTAGAATGTGTGCATTATCCTCACTTTCTGGATGGTCTCCTTTGAAAAGCAAAATTTAAAACTTCAATGATGTCCAATTCATCTTTCTCCATTTGCTCCCTGTGCTTTGGAATTACCATATCTAAGGAACCACTGTCTGATTCAAGAAACAAAGACTCATGCTTATGTTTTCTTCATGAATATAGTTTCAGCTTTCCCATTTGGTTGATCCAGTTTGACTTAAATTTCATTGATGATTCAAGGTAGGGGTCTAATTTCATTCTTTTTTTTTTAATGTATGGATAGCATTTATCCTAGAAGCATTTCTTGAAAAGACTATTCTTTTTTCCCATTGGTAAATCATTGTTGCAGCCTTGTTGAAAATCTGTTGGTTCAAAATGTGAAGAACATTGTAGTAAGCCTCCTCCAACTCCTCTTCTTTTCCAAAATTATTTTGCTTAGACAGAGTTCTGTGAAGTTTCACATGAATTTTGGTTCAACTTGTATGTTTCTGTAAAGAAACAAAAAATAGAAGATTGAACTTAGACACATAATAGTATAAATGGAGAACGCAAATAGATAAAAGATCTTCAAAGTACATAAAGCTGGACACCAGTGGCTCACGCCTGTAATCCTAGCCACTCAGAAGACTGAGATCTGTGGAACTAGGCTCAAAGCTATCCAGGGAAGGAAAGTCTAATTAACCACCCCTCAAAAATAAAAAAAAAATGTAGCTATGGCTCAATAGTAGAGCATCAGCCTTGAGTAAAATAGCTAAGCAAGAATTCAAGGCCCTGAGTTCAAGCCCCAGTATCAGCATATTCTTTTTAAGTTAAGAAAATAGCCAGGTGCTGGTGGCTCACACTTTTTTTTTTTTGAAGTTTCAATATTTTATTCAAGTTTTATTTTAAGTGATGTTAATTACAGCACTGGAAGGGGAAGGACCTAATTCCACACAAAATGGAAGACTCTATAATGTACCCATTAAATTGCTAAAAACTAAATTGAGTGGTGAGAATATAACAGAAGTCCAATTTAGATTTTTAGTGTTGTCACCATGTGATTACAATCTCACAGGCTCTTTCCAGTGTGTATCTGGAGCTCCTGGAAGTGATTTCAAACTCCGTGCAAGGGTGAAAAGAAAAACCACAACACGAAAAAGAATTATGTCCTGAATTATTGGCTTCATCATACCCACCCTCTCCACCCAAAAATGGCACGAAAAGAAATAACTAAAACACCCTGCTGACTACTTTTGGTTGTAAAAGAGGTTGGATGATGGGCTAGGGTGGAAACTGGGGCAAGAAGATCTGTCTGAAAAAGTCCCTTTCAGATGAGTCTTACACACCATCGAGCAATGAGAACTTCTCATCAATAAGAGTTAAGGAGAGCGAGGTTCGAATCTCAGGAAGTCACAATTTCATTCACTGACTCAATACAGATTAACAAAGAACCTACAGTTCATTATTAGTTTCCATTTGCCGCAATTCCTAGATTTAAAAACGAAGAAACCTGGCATCTTTAGAGCGACTACTAAGTTCTCCCCTATGCTACAGCTGAAAGGATCTTTTTTGGAATCGGGTTTCTTCTGTAACACCTTAAAGCTGAATCATCTTTAAACCTGGAGATCTAACATAATATTTAGCATTCTTGCATCCCAAACAGACAACATTAAAAGGTACACTAAATTCTGAAGGTAGCTATGCTGCTTAAAATTAACGATTGTACAGTATTCATTTATGCTTGAAATTCCAGTCCTAGACCAAGCTTGTGGCCGCCGGCGTTGACATTTTTGCCATCCAGCAGAGCTGACAGCGTCAGTTTGATACCTGGCTTTAGGGTTTGAGTGTACCCTAGTCCAATCAGGCTGGAGTTGTTCACTTTGGCCGAGAAGCAGGCATCAGGGTCGATCTGATACTTGGCTGCTATTCCAAAGCGAGTGTTACTATTCCCTGCTGTCCAGGCAAGATTGACAGCGGTCTCCAACTTCTTGTTCACCTTCTGGTAAATGGAGCCACCAAACTCTGTCCCATCATTCACATTAGTGTGAAGCTGGAATTCATCCGTCTTTTAGCCAACAGCAAAGTTGCTCTGGGTCACTCGGGACTTTGCAGTTTCAAAATTCATCTGGTAGCCTGCCAGCCAGCCCTCATAACCCAGCACCAGAGCACCCCGGATCGAAGGCCCAGCGATGTCAAAGTCCACGTCGCAGCCCAGATTGATGTGCTCACGTTTGTACCCTGTCTTGATTTTAGCATTTTTTTCCCAGTGTTTGGTGAGAAGGATGAATCGAAGGTCAGCTTCAGTCCTCGTGCAAGCTGATCCTCCACGGTAATCTCGGTACCTAGTGTGTTGTCAGTGTTCCACTTCTCAGTAAACGTCAGGCCATACTCAGTTGGTGGCTCACACTTTTAATCCTAGCTACTCAGGAGGCTGAGATCTGAGGATCGCAGTTCAAAGCCAGCCCAGGCAGGAAAGTCCATGAAACTCATATCTCCAATAAACCACCAGAATACTGGAAGTGGTGCTATGGTTCAAGTGGTAGAGTACTTGCCTTGAGCTGAAGAGCTGAGGAATAGCACTCAGGTCCAGAATTCAAGACCCACAAGCGACAAAAAAAAAGTAAGAAAGAAAGAAAAAGAAAAAAATAGACCATTGATTAGACATGACACAATTTTTTAAACAAAAAAAGAAATAGAGAAGATATTAAACTATCTTCAGAGTACTAAGAGGAAATGAGAAAGAACAGGCATTTGTATACCTCCTTAAATGCCTGAACAAGAATGATGATGACATGGGAACATTTTCACAAAACAAAATCTATGGACCTTTATCACCAGCAAATTTCCACTGAAGCATGTCTAAAAGATAAAATAGCAGGGAGAAGAATTCAGCGGAGCACATGAGTGTCAAGAAAGACTTGTGTTCCAAGAAAGTGTTCAAGTATATCTGAACTGCAACTAAGTAAAAAATAAAACAATACTTTTTGTGATGACTAATTTGGAGACTTAAGAAAAAAAACATGTAATCACAGTGTTAGACAAAAATAACATAGGATAGGAGGAGTTTGGAGTTATTCTAAGATCCCTGAATTGTTTAGGGTTTAGACTATCATAATGATGAACTTTGGCTTTGTCAGCTAGCCAGCTATGTTTTAAAACAATAAAGGATAAGAATGAAAAGGACAGAAATAGAAATCTATAACTTTCCTTGAGAAAAAGAAACCTAGAAATTCTTGATATTATCTGAAAAACTAAATAAATAGAGTGAATGTTGGATTGGGAGCAAAAAGAATGATGCTAAAAATAGACCCTAACACCAGTAATCAGAATGAATGCAAATGAACTGAACTCACCAGTTAATCACATGTTTTGGGAAGAGACACCAGAAATCTATATTTTTATTTTCTTTATTGTTATTGTAAAGGTGATATACAGAGTAGTTACAGTTACATAAGTCAGGTGATGAGTCCATTTCTTTTTGGACAATGTCACCTCTCCCTTGGTCTCTCCCAGTTTTTCCCTCCCTTCGCCACCCACAAGGTGTATAGTTAATCTTCAACACAGTGTCTAGTGAGTGCCGCTGCTGCATTTGTTCACCCTTTGTCCCTCGGTTTCTGTGCTCCCCCCTTTACTCTCCCAAAGACAGATAAACAAGATAAAAGGGAAAGAAAACAAACTTCAGCAAAGAAAAAGAAACCTTGTTTCCATTTCCTGCCGTTCATTTTGATAAATATTGTTTTAGATGATCAGATGCTCATAGGCATTGTGCCTTTGTAGACACAGGAAATCTTTCCTAGTAGATTCAGCTACATGGAACTTTTATAAAATAAAGAGTGATTGAAATGTAAAAAATGAAAATATAAAAAAATATGCTGCTATATATTAATATATGTAAAGACAATTTTAAGTAAGAAGAGCAATATCTGAAGGATCACCAAATGATTCCTTATTTAAGGAACATGTTTGAAAGTAGAGATCATTTTTTTTCCAGCACAGTTCACATAAGCCAGAACCATCCTTGGAAAGTAATAATTTGGGAAATGAAAACATCATTATCTGGCCTGAGAAAGTTCATTTCACAGGAAAACGTACATTAAAGTATGGCACCTTGAATCTTTCATTTTCCTCCTCCCCTCCCCTTCCTCCTCCCTTGATTCCTCCTTCTACTCCTCCTCTCCTTATTTTCTCTCACCATCTCCATTTTCTTTCAAGGTTGAGTCTTGCTATATTGTGAAGGCTGGCCTCAAACTCATGATTCTCAGACTCAGCCTTCTGCATAGGACTACAGGTACTTCTGTTTTTCTGTTGTTTAGTTTAGTTTTGCTTTTTGGTGTTTTGGTTCTGGTCCTGGGGCTTGAACTTAAGTACTGGATGCTTTCCCTGGCATTTTTGTTCAAGGCTAGTGTTCTACCAATTAAACCACATGTGCATTTCTGGCTTTTTGGAGGTTAATTGGAGGTAAGAGTCCTAAAGACTTTCTTGCCTGGGCTGGCTTTGAACTGTGATCCTCAGATCTCAGTCTCCTCAGTAGCTGGGATTACAAGCATGAGCTACTGATGCCTGATTAGCATGCCTGGCTTTCAATTTAGCATCTTTTTTTGTACTTTTTTATTGTAAAAACATTGTACAGAGTGGTTACAGTTACATGAGCAAGGTCATGAGTACATTTCCTATCCAGCATTGTTGCCTCCTCCTTTGTTTTTCCCCTACTATCCCTTCCCTCCCACCTCCACAACTACCCCTCTCCCTGCCAAAGTTGTGAAGTTCATTTTCAACATAGTGTCTTGTACATCTTATTGTTACAATGGGTCAACCTGTATCCCTATTTAAGCATTTTGTTTTTTCCCTTCCCCTCCCCAAATTAGAGAAGTGTTTACACAAGATGCAGGGCACCGACATCAAATACGGTGATGTTATACCATGGGGGAGGAACATAAAAGAAACAGAAAAATCACAGGGTACATTATAAATATGTTAGAAACAATAGCAAGCAAGAAAAAAAACTTGTGTCCCTATCTTGGGGTTCATTTCGCTTAACATCATCATATCTGGTCATATGTACATAGCTTTTGACCTTTTCTACTTGTCCTACACATGTACTAGTTATTGCAAATAAGGGAAACCATGGGATCTGTGTTTCTTTGGGCCTGGCTTACTTCACTTAATATAATTTTTTCAACTTAGCATCTTAACTTAAAATTTATTTTCAAAAAATTGACAAAATGACAGGAAGTTTCTAATCAATTCACCAATACAACCTGGGAAACTTTAACAAAACTCACCTAGACACTGACAGGTTAATCAGACAAAACTTAATAAAAATATCAAATATTTGAACCAAGAGAAGCGGTTCAAAGCCCAATCTAAGTGGGCCTTGGGGTTAATGCAGTTTCCCGAGATTCCTTCCATTCCGCTGCTCAGATCGTAGCAGGGTGGACCCCATTCTCCTTCTGGGACTTGTCTATACCGGTCGGAAGCTCTCATTGTCATATCTTGTTGGCCTGAGATGTCAGGTGAGAAATCCAACCAGGCTTAATGCTCTCCACATTGAAAAGATCCAAGTTAGACTCATGGAGAGACCAGGGGAGGTGAAGGGAGGTGATTACCCACAGATGGTCCTAACTCCAGATCTCTGAGTCCTACACATCCCATCCCTGCTGTGCCTTGAGTAAATTTCTGGCCCATGAAATCATTAGATGTAACACAAATCATTAGGTTATACCATGATGCTTGCTCTGTGTGTGTGTGTGTGTGTGTGTGTGTGTGTGTGTGTGTGTGTGTGTGTGTGTGTGTGTGTGTGTGTGTGTGTGTGTGATGGGGCTTGAACTGAAGGCCTGGGCACTGTCCCTGAACTCTTTTGTTCAAGGTTAGCACTCTACCACAGAGCCACAGCTCCACTTCCAGTTTTCTGGTGGCTAATGGAGATAAGTCTCCCAGACTTTCCTACCCGGCTGACTTCGAACTGTGATCCTCAGATCTCAGCTTCCTGAGTAGCTAGGATTGCAGGTGTGAGTCACTGGTGCCTGACACCACTATGCTGTTTGCTATTGCTGTCACATGCAGATCCTTGAGCATTATTCTGTGAGCTGTGCTTGAGTGTTACAATTCAGTGGCATTAAGTGTGTGCACATTGCTGGTTAACCATCATCACTGTCTATTTCTGATATTTTCCCTTCCTGAGAAGGGCCGTGGAGTTTCAGGGAAGTTCATCACACAAGAATCAGGTATGCAATAGTCTACCTGATAGAGAATTTTGGAGGAAATGCATCAATAAAACATGGAAATGTTGCAATTGAAGACCTAAAAATGGTTATTTCCCAAAATGTTTTCCAAAGCAACAAAGCAATACATGATAACCTGATACCAAACTATTCACCAGAATAGATTTAACAAGTTTCAATGTGCAAAATCAATTGAATTCTTATATTATCAACAAATACTTGTACAATATAATTTTAAAAATGCCACTTAAAAGTAAAAATGCAGTATAGTATCAAAAATTAGTCTATTAACAGTTGTTCAGAACTTAGAAAAAGATACATCTTTTTAATACACTTTAATTTTTTTGTCAGTGGTGGGGCTTGAACTCTAGACCTGGTCACTGTCCCTGAGATCTTCAGCTCAAGGCTAGCGCACTACCACTTGAGACACAGTGGCACTTCTGACTTTTTCTGCTTATGTGGTGCTGAGGAATCGAACCGAGGGCCTCATGCATGTGAGGCAAGTACTCTATCACTGAGCCACCTTCCCCCTTTTAATACACTTTAAACGAGACCAAGAGAATTCCATTCATATATGCATAGAAGAAGATAGCAATTTTCCTTCAAATTCAACACAATTCTAAATACCATTTTTTGTTGTTGATTTGCCTTATTTTGTGAATCTCACTCAGCAAGGTGATCCCAACATGAAAGAGTCATTAATGCTTTTTTTTAAATGATCATGCTGTTGGTGGCTCATGCTTGTAATCCCAACAACTCAGGAGGCTGAAATCTTTGGATCATGATTCAAAGCCGGCCTAGGCATGAAAAGTCCATAAAACTTTTATGCCCAATTAATTCCCCCAAAGCCAAAAGTAGAGGTGTAGCTCAAATAGTAGAGCACCAACCTTGAACAAAGAGCCAAGTAAGAGCACAAGGCCTTGAGCTCAAACCCCAGTACTGGTACATGTGCACACACACACACACACACACACACACACACACACACGCATGCACGCACTCACGCACGCACGCACACAAAAGTTAAAGAAAAACAATACAAAACCAAAGAAACAAAATAAAACCTTTTGGGTAAAGACTATAAATCAGTTAGACTACATTCACATTAAAAACATCTGTGCCGGGGCTGGGAAGGTGGCTCAGTGGTAAAGCACTTGCCTTGCATGCATGAGGCCCTGGGTTCGATTCCTCAGCACCACATAAGCAAAAAGAAAAAAGCCGGGGGTGGTGGTGTGGCTCAAGTGGTAGAGCGCTAGCCTTGAGCTGAAGAGCTGAGGGATAGCGCCCAGGCCCAGAGTTCAGGCCCCATGACCGGACCCCCCGCCAAAAAAAAAAAAGAAAAAAGAAAACACGTGTGCCTGTAAAGCAGGGTTTTGGGAAAACTGGGAGAAGACAAAATACGACTAGAGAATAGATTTGCCATGGACATGATCAGCAGAGATGGAGAATAGTATAAATCTGTAAATATATAAAACTTATATAGACATGTACACAGAGCAACAGATATGGAAAGGCATCTTGCGCAACAGAAAAGCATAGAAAAATCCTCAGATTCATTAGTAATAAATGTTTTTTAAGATGATTTATTTATTTATTTATTTATTCCGATGCAAGTACATGAGAGCCGTTTATTGCAAGCTTGAGCCTGGACTCACAATCGTCACCGACGCAGCGGGTCAGAGTTTTGAGCCCAAGATATTATTTTATACACTTAAAATTTGTTAAGATGCAGTCTATTGATGTCAAGAGCTGGGAACAGTTTAGAGTCTTCAATTGTCATGTTTTATAATAATGTTCATTGATATAACTACTCTGAAGACCAATGTAAACAAGACACCATATGTGCACACAATGGTGCATTGAAGGGAAAGTCATGTGAAACTAGAAACTATCTAAATATCCATCAACGTATCATGGGATTCAAATTTTGCTATAGTCACACAACAGAAAAATAAATGAGTGAATCCTAAGTTTATTATGGTATCTTGAATTCGACTGTGTATCAGGGGAAGATAAAGGAATAGTATACTAGAATTCTCTGAATTTTTCCATCTTTTTGCATATATAAAATTATCCCAACCCTGGCATGGCGGTATGTATCTATAATCACAGCTACTCAGGAGTCAAAGATTAGAAGGATCATTGTTTGAGGCCAACCTGGGCAACAAGTTAGTGAGACTCTCCTACCCCATTTCAACCTACCATGGAATGGTTCTTGTAATTCCACTTATATAGAAGGCTTAGGTGGTGCTGGCTTGGACAGGACTCTCTGAGCCTGGCCTTGGCAACTTCAGGTGGAGCTGGTTTGGACAGGGATTCTGTGAGGCTGGTCTGGTCGGTTCCAGGGCAGCTGTCTTGGACAAGACTCTGTGAGGCTGGCCCGGCCCAGTCTAGGAGGAGCTGGCTTGGACAGGGGCTCAAGAGGCTGTCCCCAGGAAAATGCCAAACCTTATCTGAAACAAAATTAAAATATTAAAAAAGGGGTAGCAGTATGTCTCAAGTGACATATGTATGGCCCACCTAGCAGTCGCAAGGCCCTGAATACAAATCCTAATATCATCAAAAAGCAAACCATTTTAACATAAGAAGTTCATTATAAGTAAATGGCTAGAATAACTTGTGCCATTCTAAATCAATCTTGTACGCCTAATTTGAAAAAAACAGCAAACCGCAGATGACACACGCATGTCAATGAATCAGCTCTCCACCACTGGAACAAAATGTGTGAGGAAGTTTACTTCTGTAGAAGAAAGGTTTACTGTGGCGCATCCTGATAGAGACTCCAGGTCACAATCAGGGCATCTATTGCTCTCTGGTATTGCTCTCTGGTAGAAGATGCTGCGTGGCAATAGTGGGAAGTGGCGACAGAGCAAACTTCTCCTCTCATGGCCAGAAAGCAAGGGAGGAAGTGGCAGGCAGCCACCCACAGACCCCTTCATGGTCATACAGTGCAGTGACCTAAGGACCTTCCCTAGCCTGACTCCTGAAGAGGTGAAGTGCCTTTAGGGCATACCTAAGCGGCATCTTTAATACATTGCCCTTTGGGGGTGTGGGGGCTTTCAGGGCCCAATCTATGATCATCTACATGAATTTACAAGCATGCAATGCTTATGTCTTAACTAGTGGCAGTATGATTGGAAACACATATGGGTGGATGGCCAACAGAGAATTCTGAACAGAAACTACGTGGTGAAGGCCTATGTAATGCACTGGTGTGTGACAAGAGGCGTTCCCAGCAGTGCTTCCATTTTGTTTGCCATGTTTTGTTTCTTTTTTTTTTTTCATGTTTTGTTTCTTGATTCGAGTGGTCCATGCAAATACAAATATGATTGTAGTGTACGCCTTTAAAAAAAAGACTGTCTTACTTACATATATACCTAGCTAATGTGAGCATGAATGTATACAAGAATTTGTTTTAAGTTGCCTGCCTTAATCAGTGATCCCAGCTCAGAGAGAACTCAGAGCGCCATTAGCTAGCGAGAACAGCTAATCCATATGCAGTTCTAATCCCTGGTTGTTCTGTAAATCCTTCCACATTTTGGTGACATTGTGGCTTTTTCAGGGATAGTGCCTTTAAATGAATAAAATGAACCACACAGAATTGCAAGAGAATCCAATTGCATTCAACTATAGTAATAAATTATTAATTTGTGTTATACTAGTGTTTTTATAATATATATAATACATCATGTGTGTGTATATATATATATATATATATATATATATATAAAATTTGGTAATAGTGGCAACATCATAATGCCATGAAAAAAAAAGCTGCAATTTCTATAAGCAGCAAAGCTCCAGATATTGCTTATACTACTATGGCTAGTTGCTGAAGTTTTATGTTAAAGAAAATGTAGTTTCAATTTGAGGTGAATTAAAAAAAAATAGTAACAGTTTGTAGGTTGGTATCAAGGCTAGCATGAGGTTACTAACGCAACTGCTTCAGGGACAAAATATGAAGAGTGTCCCGAAGCTCAGTGATCGTAACACTCATTTGTTGTTGTCACATGGAGTCTGACTGTGCAGCTCAGGCTGGGCTCACATGTCCCTCCCACCTCAGCCCAGCCTCACCAAGCACCCTCGTGCCCTGTCATGATGCAATGTGGTGGTGGTTGTTTTCAATCAAGCAGTAAGAACACGTTGTACTGAATGAAATATCAAAAATTTTAAATAACCTGGTGCCAGTGGCACACCCCCACAAGTACTAGCTACTGGAGAGGCTGAGATCCTAGGACTGAAGTTTGCCAGCTCAGGCAGCCAAATCTGATCTCCAATTACCTAGCCAAAAGCCAGAAGCCAGCACTGAGTGGAAAAAGTGGAGCAAGAGCAAGAGGTCCTGAGTTCAAGCCACAGTCGCACACCAAGTAACAAAAGAGCCAGAGAGCGGTGACCATCAGGGGCTTTGTCTTCGCGCAGGCGCACTGCTGTGCTTCAGCTGCATTCTCTGACTGAAAGTCCTCTGCAGGCATTATTCTTACACATCAAAGCTTCTCTTTCCACATTTTGCTGTTTCCTCTGCTAGAAAGAACAACCACCATAAACAGATGATCCCATAAAATGCGTATTCGTTATGGATTCCTTATGGATTATTTTTTTGAGGACTTTGACGCATTGTATCTTCAATTTGTTCCTACCAGTGCTGAAGCTCCACCTAGGGCCCTTTTTTATAATTACATGCATATTCATTACAACTAATCAGCTTCTGTACAATGGAAAGATAGAAAGCGGTTATGCAAATCAGAGAGAGTGTTGAGTGTTTTGTTAGGTGATTTCTTTTCCCCTTGGCCATGTGTCTAATGCATAAAATTAGAATCGGTCAGTCTCAGCAAATAAAGAGTAAAACAATGGACCAGTATGGGCTGCTTGCCACACACAAATGCTGTTCACATCTTTTTATCTCTGTGTTTGCAACATCGTCCTGTAGGAATACAGACAGGTAATCTTTGAAACAAGTGCTCCCAGAGCAGACAGGAGCACTAACGTACAAAAGGCCCCACAGTAGGGATGGAGGATGGGGCTGCCAGGAAGGAAACTGAGGGAGACTTACTAGAGATAAGTGCAAAGGTCAGTAGGCACACCTGATGCTAGTGGTTCACACATGTAACCCTCAGGAGGCTGAGATATGAGGATCCAGGTTCAAAGCCAGCTATGTCAGAAAGGTCTCAAAAAGCTGGAAGTGGTTGAGTGGCTCCAGTGGTGGAGCTCCAACTTTGAGCAAAAAAGCTAAGGAACAGGTAGCACCCAAGCCCCAAGTTCAAGCCCCAGTATACTCCCCTCCTTCCCCCTCTCTGTCTCTGTCTCTGTCTCTGTCTCTCTCTCTCTCTCTCTCTCTCACACACACACACACACATACACACACACACACACACACAGAGCTATCCTGGCTCTCTGCTTGCTTCCACTAACAGTCTTATTCTGTCCAATGTAAGTATAAATTCTTTATATAAGAGGAATTCACAGATCGAAAGGCAGCTCCAAAGAATTTTCTTTAGAACTTTCTTCACTTCTAACTTTGCCATTTCTGCCCTAGGCTTGGATTGCTAGCTTTTTCCTCCTAGCCCAATGGGGTGAATTGTTTCTTGGTTTCCTGTTTCCCCAGCCCTGCATAATGCAAAACGATTGGAGCTAGCACCCCAGAGTGTTTTGACTCACACCTGCCATCTGTCTGCTTAGTCACCACGCAGCCGCAGCCGTCCTTCCCCAAGTGATAATTTGTATTTGATGTAGGAATTGGTAGGCAATGATGGCTGTGTGAGGAGATTGCTGCATTCCCACTCTCCTTGATGCTGGTGATGGTAGCAACATGGCGCATTCATGTTTCAGATCTTCACTTGGCTTTTTCTTGGAACTGCCATATGTTGCTAGAGAGACATTGTCGGGGGAGAGGTGTAAACAGGAGAGGGAAAGAGATCACTTCTAAAGGCGCTGTTCTAACACTGTGGGCCCATGGCCATTACATGTAATACAATGCAAAGCCGACATTTCCAGTGAAGGCACCATCTCAGCCATTGATTTTTCCAAACTTGTCCTGGCTCTCTGCATGCTTCCATTCACACTCATTCTGTACTCATTCTGTAAGTACAAATTCTTTATATAAGAGGAAAGAGCAAATTCGTTCTGCAGATGTTCATGGAAACCAGGCAGATACAGTAACAATTGCAGGTGACCATCAAGACAATCAAAGCAAACATACTCACTTTTTTCCAGTCATGGGGCTTGAACTCAGGGCCTGGGCTCTGTCCCTGAACTTTCTCACTCAAGGCTAGCACTCTGCTTCTTTGAACCACAGCTCTACTTCCCAGTTTTCTGGAGGTTAATTGGAGATAAGAGCCTCACGGACTTTCCTATGTGGGCTGGCTTCAAACCTTGATCTTCATATCTCAGCCTCCTTAGTTGCTAAGGATTACAGAGGCATGAGCCACCAGCAGCTGGCTCTTTAACAGCTTCTTGCTCTTGCTCAGCTTTTAATCCTTCATGGCTGGTGTCACATCTCCATTTCTGGTTTTTTGCTGGTTAACTGGAGATAAGAGTTTTATGGGTTTTTCTATCTGGGCTGGCTTGGAACCACAGTTCTCAGATCTCAGCCTTCTGGATGGCTAGGATTAGCCATGTGAGCTGCTAGGGACCTGGGTTGCTCTTCCACCTGTCACCCTACAGGGGCACAACTTTCCTGCCCTTCACAAGACACAGCCTTCACACAGATCTTCACCTTGATCTTGAACTTCCCACCCTCCTGATAGTGAGAAATAAATTTCTCTTCTTTGTAAATGACCTTGTCTCAGGTGTTCTGTTACAGTAGCACAAAACAAATGAAGATGCGAAAGAGAATGCTTGTTGTTCTGGACATCCTGCGTTTGAGACAGGAGAAGGATATTAGCAATTGGAAATGTGAGGTGAACGCATAGCTGAGACTTCAGCAAGAAGTCCAGGGTGGGGGCAGGGAGGTGTCTTGGCCAGAGAATTTCAATCAGGCTGTGCTTTTGAGAGTCACTTGATGTCCCGTGAGAGGCTGCTGCTCCACTCAGGAGATTCGATTCATGAACTCCCTCTTTCTAAGCCTCTGTAAGAGCCTGCCCTCATGGAAGCAGAAGCACCGAGATGTTCTCAGATGCTCATTCTAAAGAAGAAGAGTATTGAACATAGAACCCCCCCCCCAGCTCTGTTCCTCCTTTTACTGCTCCCTTCTCACCCCCAAACTAACCTTAGCCTACCACTTGCCTCACTCGCCTAACCAGAGGAGAAGCACGTGGGTAAGTCCACCCTCACCAGCACAACGGTATCGATCTCTGCCTGCAAAGGGCCGGAGGAGAAAGCAGCAGTAATGATCAGCTGGACCAAAAGAAACGAGCTTCAGCCTTGCGGATGTTCAGAGGATGATTTTTTGAGCCCCAGTGAGACAGATGTTCCGAGAGACTTCTGTGGGGGAGAAAACTGGGAAACATCTACAAGGGAGAAGTTTAGATTTCCCAAAAATCCTCACTCTGTCAACAAAATCTCACTTGGCTATGGACACTGCCACATACCAAAGGGCATTTTCAAATGTGTGCCAGTATTGTTATTTTTTAATTTTTGCCTTTATGGTGAACGCAGTGGTATTCAGTAGATATTTTTAATGAGCTAGGCCCTAAGTGATAAGCTAATACACCCTCTACCTTATGGAGGAACCATCTTGCTACTCCAAATGATGATAAACAGCGCCTCTATGGGGAAAATGTATAATACAATGATAATGCAAAAGCTAGAAGGTGATGTTCTTTTTCCTACAGTGTTTGAGATATCTGATAGATCATAAAGTCTCCAGTTCCATCTTTGAGCATTCATTTTCTAATAAAAATTTTGGCAGAATTAGCAATAGAACCAAACTCACAAACTCAAGCAAAGTAAAAACAAATATGAAACTATAAAAACTAGAAAATGGAATAAAATGTGGCATAGTTTTCTTCATCTTGTACTTATTCTTAATTTCAAAAAATCTATTCACATGTATTTATTTAGTTTTATATCTTTAGTATTTTTAAAGTACTTTTTTCCCTGGTGTGCATAGATATCATTTAGCAAAAATCAAACAAATGGAGAGGAATGTCCAAACTCAGAGAATAAAGCACTTAACACAAATTACCATTGGTGTTCTCAAGTTCCAGGGATCATAACACATATTCGTTGCAAGAATAGAAATTTCTTCATTGTGTAGAGGGGAAATAAAGGATGCTTATCTTAACTGAATGTGTTCCTTCCCTTCTAAATAGGTTGAATATTGTATCTGTTGTGAAAAATCCATTTCTTCCTTGTCCTTTTACCAGGGGAATTCCATTTGATTAATCTAACTGGAGATTTTTAAACTCAAGAGAAGAAAAAAACTTATCCAGAAAAAGAGGAAGTTGTGAAGCCAGAAGTAGCAGCAGATGAGTCAGAAATATATCACAGGCTAGATACCATAGAGAGTCCACCTTCACCAGCACACACCACACAGCCCTTCCACCTCTCTATTCTATTACAATTACACAGAAAACAAATTTCTAGCTGGGTGCTAGTGGTTCATACCTATAATCCTATCTACTCAGGAGGCTGAGATCTGAGGACTGCAGTTCAAAGCCAGCCTGGGCAGGAAAGTCTGTGAGACTCTGATCTACAATTAACCACCAGAAAACTGGAAGTGATACTGTGGCTTTAGTTGGTAGAGTACTAGCCTTGAACAAAAGAACTCAGGGACAGCACCCAGGTTCTAGTGAATTCAATCTCATGCTAGATACAGATACAGACCCAGACACAGACACACAGACACATAGACAGACAGACAGACAGACAGACAGACACACACACACACACACACACACACACACACACACACACACACACACACACACACAAGGAAACCAAATTCCAGCTCTCTCACATAATCTACCATTCTACTATCCCTCTTGAAGGTTACACTGTGTGAAAATGGATGTTTAGAAAGCTCTTCTTGTTGAAAAAATTTGGAATAGTGGAAAGAAAAAAAAAAGCATTCTAGGAAGAATGCTAACTTGGAAGCCACAGAGCTCAGGATTAAAATTTTGTTTTTACAAATTGTATGACTGGGCAGCTTTCTTAGGTTTGGGTGTCTCATTGGTGGCCTCTGAGATTATCACTGAATTTTTTCTAATAAAATACCATGACAAGCTGAGTGCCCATGGCTCATGTGTTTAACCTAGCTACTCAGGAAGTTGAGATCTGAGGATCAAAGTTCAAAGCCAACTTGAGCAGAAAAATTCATGAGACTCTTATCTCTAACCACCAAAGAGCTAGAACTGGAGCTGTGGCTCAAGTAGTAGAATATGTCAAACAAAAAAGCTAAAGGATATTGCCCAGACTCTGAGTTCAAGCCCAGTACCTGGCACACACATATACACAAACACATACCTGCATACTCATACACTCTCACGCATGCACACACAAACATCACTGGCAGGAAGAATATTAGACACAGAATTTTCAAATCCCCAGTAAAGTACAAACAATATTGAATCCAAAACATAGAAACATTGAATAAAAACCTGTAGGCATTTTCTGTTCTTGGAATTCTTCTGCCAGACATGAAGGTCATTCCTCTGAAATTCTATTTGCAAATAGAATAATTCCTTTTCTAAGCTCATCTGTGTTGTGCAAGTACCTAGTTACACTGCTAGCAGAAAATAGTTGACATTGCCTACAAATTCCGCAATAAGCTCCACAATCTTATTAGCTGCATTTTCTAAGGTACCACAGGGGACAGCTTTACCAATTGTTTCACTATTATATAATGGCTTACCTTTTCCATAGCCACTTTAGTAATTCTCTTTCTGTAGCCAGCAGGTGCTGGCTACAGAAAAATATGTTGAGCTGGCTCAACATTTTTTCCAGTCTTCACTGACAGTTTTCCTGCTGTTCTTCTGGTCTTTGGTTAACACCTCAGTTCCCAGCTTGGCCAGCTTTAGTCCTGATTGTCTTGTCTTAAAAGCCAGTGTTGCACATCATAGATATTTCTGGTGCCAACATCCCTCTGTAGAGATACATATTTCATAGCTGGTAATTTTGTTTACAACCAGCTATGCTAATACCAATCTCTGCAAAGGTCACAATTCTGTAGACTGGCAATTTTGGTTAGATACTCAGAAACTCTTCTCTTGGTCTCATGTACACTCATTCAGCAGCATGTCCTTGGGGCATGGTTGTTTAGGAATGGCCTCCCTCACATAGCTAGTAAAGAAACCCCGCAATTCATTACTAGATGACCTTACTGAACAATGGCCTGGACATCTTCATGTGGTTGCTAGGGGGTCCTAGGGCCTGGTGAGGGCTATGACTGGATTCAGGAAGTGTGTGAAGAAAATACAGTACCAGTGGAAACTACTGGCTTGTGTTTGCCATCTCTTCTCTGCTATTTTGTGTGTACAACAAAGGTGGCAAAGACACAGGATTCTGAGTGCTTCACATTATGCAGTGATCCGAAGGCCGGATGTGTTTCTACTCCTTTGTGTGTCTGGTCTTTGCTACATGCAGATTTCCTGTTATCTGTTTGGTCTGGAGGGTGCCCTTTGACCTGTGAGCCCAAATAACCCTAAACTACCCTGTATTCTCCTACCAATTAGAAGCAGGGAATTGTTTCTCTTTTGGGATCTGCCCAGCCTTCTCCCTTGTGTCTCTTGACAATGCTTATGTGTCTTGAGCGATCCTTTTTTTCCCTTATTGTATCTATTGGCAGTTGCTGAGATTCAAATGCAGCAAGAAAAAGTTTAAATGTGTGACCAATTTTAGTTTCTGTTGTATGTATGTAAGTATGTATGTACGTATGTA